TGAAGTCAAATTTGCCAAATTTATTTTTTTAAATAAAGCATGTTCACAATTTTGAATAATTTCATCATATTAAATGTTGTTACAGTTAATAAGAGTTATTCTCAAAAATACACTCTTTTATTCATGATAAAATAACACTGAAATAGCCTTTCACAATAAGTAGCAAAAAATGTATAAAATAATAGCTTTCACATGTTGGAAACTAGTATAGAACTGTGATTCTAGAGATAGTTAATTTAAACAATGAACTTTACAATTTCAGGAGATACTTCTCAATCAGGGCACAAGGAAGAGAAACAAGGAAACACAAGAGCAATCTCCTCAAACTAAAGAGACAGAATGCAGTGTCAAGTGATTGCTCCTCTGATGCTGAATATAAGGAAGGAGAAAGTAGCACCCCCCCAAAAAAAACCTTTAGTAATATACATAGCTGCAGCAGGAGCAACAAATACTCACCAAATTGAAACCTTTTTTTTTTTTTAAAGAGGACCACAGAAAAGTGCACAATTCTCAGCGGCCTGTAGAATGGTATTAATAAATGAAACATGATATATGGGAGCATCAGGAAAAAATAGGGAAGCAAATAAAAGTAGACAATTTTCCAAATGTAATTTAAAAAGCTTATGTAGCCTAGCTCAACACAACAAATCATTATTACACAGCATAATCAAATTACATATAAAAAGAAAAACAAAACAAAAACCCTTAAAATCAATTACAGAAATAAGCCAGAGTATATAAAGGTAAGTCGAACCAAATAAATGTGGACCACTTAGTGACTTCTTTTTATAAAGAAAAGCAAGATGGATGATAATGAAAACATCTTTAAAATACTGAGGATAAAAAAGGAAAACGTCTCAACCTAGATGACGTTATATTTTATATGTGATAAAAAGAATCACAGCATTGGAAACACTGAGAGTTTCATTGCTAGGGGGCTGTAAGAAAATGTAAAGGATATTCTCTTTGTGAGAAAGCTATGTCAGATGGAAGACACTTGAATCTTTATCCTCAGATGAAGAGAAGCATACTTGATATATCTGTGGGTAAATATAAACTACTACATTTGTGTTACATATTGATATGTTTATAGTGTCTTGGTATTGACCTGTATGGAAAGTCACAAGAAACCATCATTGCCATCTTACAACCAAAATAAGCTGCATATGATAGAAATCATATTTCAAAACAGTACATAGCATCATAGTTCTGTAAATACAAAATAATTAAAGGAAAGAGATATGTAGCTGGCTCCCATCTCCTCCACCAAATGAAAGGAGAGTGTCCTATCTGACACAAATTGAGATTAAAATCCTGCTACATATAGAGGACTTTTCAGAATCATATGTAGGCTGGGAGAACAAAATAAAAACCACAGGAGGCCCCAAAACATGGTGCTAAAGTATTTGCCCCCATCTTATTTCCAATGGTCTTCATTTGATTGAATGAAGAGGATACTTAGAAGATGAATATATATATATATACATATATATATGTAAATATATATATATACATATATATATGTATATATATATATACCACAAATATAGGCTAATATTTTTTAATTATACAGAAGGAAGGACAGTAGATAAAATTGGAGTAGAAAGGAAATTGAAGGAAATACTTTGGGAAATCCTGTGTGTCAGAGATAGAAGAAAGTAAGAGCTTAAAAGAAATGTCACCTAGGCATCACAGGGAGGAGGTGGTGAGCTCAGCCCCTTCCTATGACACAGATATTTATGAGTTGCAACCAGACGATGCCTGAGGTGGCACTCAGCAGCTGAGAAAACCTCCTAGATAAAGTGTCCACCTTCATAGCATATAAAGTAGCCACAGCCCAAAATAAAGCAAAGGGTGGAAATAGAGAGGAAAAGGTATTACATTAAAAGGGGATGGGGATATAACTCACTGGTGCTGTGCCTGCCTGGCAAGTGCAAGGCCCTGAGTTCAATCCCCAACTCAGCAAAAAAACCCCAAAAAAGGTATTACTTTAGATACAGTAGAATAACCATATGAACTACAACTGAATTCTCATAAACAAAGTCAAAAGAAAATAGACTACTATATTTAAAATTCATAAAGAAAATCTGTAACCTGGATTTTTATATTTAGTAAAAGTACAAGGAGCACAAAATACTCACAAATAGGAAAAGTCTAAGAATAATTCATTTTAAAATACTTTCTACAAGATATAATGAAAGAAGTTTAAAATTATAGAAGGGGCAGAGACAAAAATCTTACCACTGAGAACAAATAATTTATGCCAAAATGATAGACTTAATGTTAAAATATATAAGTAACTTTAAAAACAAAGAAAAAAATAGTTTAAAGACAAATATTATTAGCATGCCTAAAACAACCACACCTATTCATACAATAATTTTAAATGATACTTTGAAAATATAGATATGGAAAATTGAAAGTCAAAGGCTTGGAAAACCAAGTTACAAAGCACTGGTTATAAAAAATAGCTATCATAGTTATAAATTAGAAAGAGGCAAAGGGTACACCAAAGATAAATATGAGGATTTCATAAAGCAAATTTCATCAATTGATCAGGAAACCATAAAATCTTTGTACAGCATTGAACCACAGAGCCTTCATATATTCTAGTACTACAGGGCAGAACTAAAGGAAGGTGTTGTTGTAAAATACACAATTACAATAGATGATACGAATTCTTTTTTCTATTAATTGGTAAATTAAGCCAATCAAAATAGAACAGTAGGTATAAAATATCTGAAAAGTACAGTAAGACTATCAACCAACCGTGCCTAATTTACAATTACAGACCACAGTCTCTGAGAACACTGAACTCACACATTCTTTCCAAGTAGTCTTAGAATTTTACCAAAACAGTGTAGATAATAGCCCTTAATTCTCAAAATATGTAAAATGATTCAAAGTAAACAAGTATTTGACCACATTATATTTTATCACACATGGGTAAAAACAAAATAAAATGGGAAATAATTGGAAAGTTTAAAATTTATATGGATCAAAGACAAAAATTGCAAGATAAAATACTATTCTGAAGAGTCAATATTTTGAACTGAATGAAAATGAAAACAAAGTGTAACAAAATCCACAGTAGGTCAAACTGTATGCATGAGGAACAAATATAGTTTAAAATCAATAAGTTTGAAACCTAAAACAGTTACAATAAAAAATTAAAACCAAAGTAAATAGAAGAGAATGATTAAAGTAAGCACAGATGAATCAGATAGAAATCAGAAAGAAGTACACAAATTCAAAGTTAGTTTAAAGAACATATTGGCAAATTGATCCAAAACTACAAGACTTTTTGAGAAATAAAAGAAAATTTACTACAAAGGAAAATAAGAAGAAAAGATCAATACAAACATCAAAGAAATGAAAAGACAATACTTACAGTATTTATTTATAAAATAAATATGAAAACTTAGATAACAAGGACAAATTCATAGTGAAGCTCAAAATGTCAATCTACTAAAATATATATAGAAACAAATATGGAAGATATATCACATTCATTAAAAAACTGAATTAAAAATACGTCCTTAAAGATTCCTACTAAACAAGCTAGATAGCTATCTGTCTGTCTATCTATCTATCAATACTAAATGTGTACTATATTACATATATTTATATATAAGGGGGAGGAATGGAAGGTGGAAGACACTGATCTGTTAGAAAGAGAAGGGGAGGACATGGAAAGCAAATTGGATTAATGAGAATATATGGTATGGGAATCTAGATGGAGGATATGCAAAAACTCTGTGCTACTCTAGTAGTATCTTAGTAACTATGAATAGCTGATTGAATTTTTTAATGGCAACAATGTATTCTTATTAGGTTCCTAAACAATGATTCCAAAGGAAATATACTTCAAATCATATGTAATCTGTTGTTAATTAGAAGTGATTCATATTTTAAAAACACCTATCTTCTTAGCTCTATCAACATAGTAAAACATTTTATTCCATTCCAAATTAAATTATGCCTCTTGCTTCTTAATCTGAC